CTGACTGGTCTGATCTGAAAATGTAATTGAAAATGATTTTATCAAAATTATTCGGTGGTTTAACAGTAGAAAATTAAGCATTAACTACTCTAAAACACATTTTTTACCATTTGGATCTTATGCTAGACATCTGCCAAATTACACAAATTTCTCCTTCAATATTAATGATCAAATAATGCAAATTAATAGAGTGCCCAACATAAAATACCTTGGAATGGTCTTGGATCCTCACTTACGATGGGACATCCATGTCAATTATATTTTAAAGAAAGTTAGATTTGTATCCTACAAAATTAAATACCTTGGGAAAATATTGACAGAAAAATATCTTCAAACATTATACCATGCACTGATTGAGCCTCATCTCACATATGGTATATTAGCATGGGGAGCTGCATGTTCCTCACATATCTATAATTTAGATGTTTTTCAAAAATGTATTCTAAAAATGATATTTAAAAAACCGAAACTTTATCCCACTGAAAAATTATATGCAGATGTTCGAATGTATGATATAAGACAGCTTTATTTCTTACACAGTATCACTCACTACCATAAATTTGTAAACACCGACCAAAAAATTAAACATAATCATTATACCAGATACAAAATTCGTGGCACAGTAGTTCCTCAACCGCATAAATCTATAATGCAGCGATCATATCTCTATTTAGCGCCTAAATTTTATGAAATTATACCTAAAGACTTAAAAGATTTACGTTTCGGAAATTGTTTCAAAAGAAATTTAAAAAAGTGGCTACATTCTATATCTAGGACTGAAATTCATAAACTCATAAATACGAACATCAACTAAATACATAATCTACTGTAGCTAATTTTTGTCCTTTTTTGTCATTTGCATTCTACAGTTTCAACTTAAATTATTGGTCCATGTACAGGCGATGCCTTCTATTGGGCCTGTTTTGATTTTATATTTATTTACTCATATTGTTTGTTATCTTTGTACATTGAGTAAATAAATATTATTATTATTATTATTATTATTAGCAAATAAACAAACATGCTGAGATTGCGTGAACTCATCATTCCGAATTTTAAGATGGCACCAGTCAAATTCAGCATAGCCTAGGACCGCCTCTGGTAGGCAATCTCGTTCCCAAGAAAGAATGTCCAGCCCCCCAAAACGACAAGCGAGCATGAGTCTAGCTGTCGCTTTTCAATGTACCAGATACGTAACCCTCGTCCGTCGTCCCGAAAACACCAAAAGCCCTAAACAAAATAATAACAAAAAAACGCGAGAACCCACCAACTTACAACACACCTGTTAATTGTTATGCAATCTTCGATTAAAATGTTGCAAGTGAACTTAAGTTAGAGCTTGTGAAGTATTTATTTATATTTTTATGTTATCCTTACTATCATTTCTATAAGAATTATAATATCCTAGAGCGATCATGATTCTAATGCTTTCTTCTGAATATTGAATAGCTTATTTATTTAGCTATAACTAACCCATACTGTTATACCATAGCTAAACTGTGAATGGAATAGCCTAAAGTAGCAACTTTTTAATACTTGTAGACTGAGATTTGAAGCCACGAAGGCATGAATCCAACTTAATGATGCACCTAAAAATATTCCAAGGATTCTAGCTCATCTTACCTATCGTTATGGACCTACTATTGGATAAGATCATATTTTCAGTCTTCTCTTTGTCTAATTTTGGATAATGATCAGTGAACCATTTGTTTGCCTTTTCTAAATTGACAGTAGCTCTTTTTTCGAACACAGCTAGGTTGCGGTCTGCACATATCAGTGATGTGTCATCAGTATATGCTACACAAAGGCCTGGATCAAAAATTGAACCCTGGGGCACGCCAAACCAAATGTCCTCTAAATCGGATACAGCTCTGTGTACAACACACAGCTTTTGTTTAAAGTTAGCAATGGTATTAGGGTCAGCAATTTAGCCCCAATTATTTGAATTATTAATTCCAATGGTGTCCCGGAAAACGCCATAACCTGTATCTTTGATAAAAAATTTGTGCTCGACTGGCTTTTCAGTTTTCTACTTTTTTTTCTGGATTAAGAACCTAAAAATACAACTTTTCTATCTCGTAAGTTTCTTGCATATTTCGCTTCGTTTGCGAGACAAAAAATCAAAGGCACTTTGTTGCATGTCCCTGGGACATAATAAAACATTAAACACACCAAACTGATTATTACGCAATTAACAGACGAACTATAACGAAAGATGCGGGATTGGTCGGAATACATTTTATATTATACAGGGTGTCCGCAAAGTTGGGGTTTTCCTTTTCAGAAACAACTACCCTTGGAATGTGTAGTGAAACGAGGGCGACCAAGTAAAAAAAAATAAAGGAAAAAGTATTCAATCTCCAGTTGACGGGAAGGGCTAAGTACGTCTCTGCCCGAAATCATACCGCTCCAACAGAAAATGAAATCAGCTGAAGCGCTACCGAGCAGACGCAGAAACCACATTGATTGTCTTACACTTAATGGCACATCTTCTAACAAGGAAGGCAAAATGTTGCGTAAAAAGTCTAGGTATTGCATCCCGTCCCATCGATTTGGGAGAATAAATGGTCCAATGAGCATACCGTTCACCATGCCAGCCCAAACATTCACCGAAAATATTTGTTGAAAATGTGCCCGACGGACAGCGTGCGGATTTTCTACTGACCAAACATGAGTGTTGCGAAAGTTATTCACCCCATTACGCGTGAACTCTTGCTGGAAAATCGTCAGATTGAAGGGCTTGTACACGTTGGACGTGAAACGGATACAGCCCCTCTTCACGCAGCGTTTGCCACACTTTAGTTTTTGATACTTAAACTTCTCTAGTCACGTTTCTAGTGCTTGTTGAGGGATTCTCGTCTACGCGATTACCTCTACACGCGTGACCGGAACCGTCGGTTGAAGGTTGCATACTGACCTGACACACTGACTCCGACCCAGTTCTGCCGTCGGGTTGAGACCTTGTACCAATCGGTGATGTCCCGGGTCGCGGCTACAGGACGGTATTCAGATATTTTTGATGTTGCAGAGCCCTTTATCTCGGTTCCCTTAAGACATTGGTGTATATGGTACTAAGAAAAATTGCTTATGTTTTCAAGATCTACACGTCGTGTAAAGGAAAACCCCAACTTTGCGGACACCCTGTATTTACATGCTAAATACAAACAAATCCGTATATTTCAACAGGTATGTAGCTATAATGATAACAGATAAACACTCAATATATTAAACTTAACAGATTCGAGATTGTCATGCATTAACAAACGTCCAAACCTGCTATAAAAATCTAACACCTAGAATATCGACCTATTATTTTTTCCATTCCCATTGGCTAAACAGATGACCGAGCTGTTATATGTAAATTTATAAGCAAAATCAAAATACATGAAAGTAGTCCTGTTTTCTCTATACAAAAGCATCATGTTGGAATCAGAAAGTGCTCTTGTTTATAATACGGTCGCCTTCTCAAGATTTTATTCAATACTTTAATATAAAGCTTCCGTCAAATTGCATTTCGATCTCTTTAACAACTGGTCCAGGCTGACGGTCAAATATTAATGCTGATGAAAGTGACCCTAAAGCTATTTTAATTTCGTTTTTAATTTTGTTATTAATCAGAGATATTAAAGTTATCTAGATAGCCTTTACACAACACTTGTAACCATGGGGCACCTATATATTAAACCAATTTTCTACACCTGCTCCCTTTAAATGGTTCAAACCCTTTCAAGAAAATCTGTAGAGTTTATTTATGGCATTCATAGTCGAAGAGGGGCGAACAGGGATAAACACAATCCTGCAGCAGCTCTTGTAAAATGTCCTGTAACTGGAAACACGGAATTCCAACGCTGACGATGTCAAAGGCAAGCACAGTGAAAAGAGGGGGGAAATATGGGGGAGAGGGGCGTAATTAGGACTCTACGTGCATGCTACCGTTGAGATTGTGGCAATTTATCAAAAGGATTTCGACGCTTTTGTCGTGCCAGAGGAAGCGGCTCGAGATAGATGTATACGCAAAAGAGGGGGTTCTCTTCGCTCTCCGGGTTCCCAACGGCTCTCTCGAGGCTTTTTTATCATTCCCTGCTTTACGTATTCAAACAGTCGAGAGAACAGACCCAGGACTCTCGAGCATACGGGCACTGATTGTAAATCCACTCACGAAGGAATTATGATTATGATAATTTTCAAATTGGTGTCTTAACTTATTTCAATCGGTCCGTTTTAGTATATTTTCCGAAGAGTTCTTGACGCCACGGTATCTCATTTTATCTAGAATATTTTTTTGGATGCCTAAATTCAGTATTAGGTTAACTATACTCAGGTAGAATAAATACGTTAATGAAGTAGTAGCTATAAATACTCCATCTTTGATATAATATGTGATATTATCAAGAAGCTTTTAATCGTGGTAAAAGTTTGCATTTATTCGCTCGCGACCGCCCGATGACACCAGTAAATAAACATGACGGAAAAGGTGTGGGTACGTTCTTGGTGGAAGCTGGCGGCAACATAGGTGTATTTTAAAAAGGGAAATTCCAACATTTTTGTAGAATAAGCATATTTAACGTAGTTCTGCGTCCTAGAGTATCAACGGGGCTATATTAGCTATAGCTAGCATATAATAATAATTTGTACTGCGTGAAATACAAAATGTAATATAAATAACACAACAGATTGCTCCTCATTAAATAATAAAGAATGTTATATGATGTGTGATACGCCACGGGTATGATATGTGTCGTGTTTGGGGTTCTGCTGAAAATTCATAGTTTTGAGTGGTAAAAAGTGGCCAAAAAATTTGGAATCTTCGTGCAAATATTACTAATAAGTGCAGTTAACAATCCTGTGAAGTGAGACCTGCATGCAATCTGTTTAAACGAAGTTACTTGAAATCTTCTTTATTTTCTATCGAACCAACGTAAGAAGTCACTTTTTTGCGACACATTCTGTGAGAATACAAGGACTAGTAGCTCAGTTTTTTTTTTATTATTGTCATCATCATGAGTAAATGTCTGATGTGTCCTGACAAGGGACCTATTCTGTTGAAGAATGCTGTTCAATGTAAATCTTGCTCTATATATCATCATAAGTCATGTGGTAACAGGTCAAAGTTGTTGCCTGATGGAAGTTATAATTACTGTTGTGGTACTGGTGGTCAAGTTCATGATGAAGATTTTGCTGGACTAGATCCTGGATTTCAACTTATTTTGAAAAGGCTTGACAAAGTAGATGCGTCATTGTCAGATATTCAATCCTTCAGCAACAAGCTAACAGAACTTGAAAAAAAGGTTGATACACTTGAAGAGATTGTTACTGGCGAGTCTTTATATGATGAAATGAAAGATAGGATGAATAGAGAGAAGAACTTTATTATATATAACTTTGATGACTCAGTGAATGCAACTGCTACTGATTCTGTGAAAATAAAGAAATTGCTCGAAGATACAAAGGTTGTTATTCCATTTAGCTTTGATGATCTTAAAGTTTTTCGACTTGGACGTGATTTTGTTGAAGGAAAGAATAGATTAGTCAAAAAAACAACAAGCTCACATGCAAAAACTTAAAAATGAAGTGAAGCATAGATCTGCCAAGGGAGAAAAGGATTTAAAAATTAAACATATCAGAGGTAAACCAACGACTGTTAAATCTATTGTTGCTGATAATCAATTAAATGAAAATGATGAATATACCGAATGACTATATGATAGTTACCATAATTTGAGGATTTTTTACCAAAATATTCGTAGTGTAGTGATGAGTTTTACTCCAGATTGTCTTATTAATGAATATGACATTATAGTTTTGACTGAAACTTGGCTTGACAAAAACATTACTGCTGCTGAATTACAACTCCAAGATTTACTGTGTACAGATGTGACAGGTCTTTATTTACAAGTGTGAAGAAATCTGGTGGTGGTGTTTTGATTGCAGTCAAAAAATGTTATTAAGTATTTAAATGTTATTTTAGTTAATAACTCTTATGAACAAGTTATTGTGCGTATAAAAACTCATGCAAAGTCATTTTTCATTAGTGTGGTCTATATACCTTCTAGGAACAGGATTCATGTTTTATTTGCTTATAATTTATTTAATAACATTATTGATAATTTCAGTTTATTGTCAAAATTCAGATTTTATGTGCCACCAAGAATGTTAAGACGGAATAATGTTTATTTTCAAGTTATGCCACCTAAATCAGATCTGATAAATCATTCTCCTGTTTTTAGATTAGCTAAACTATGTAATGAACACAGTAGTTGGCTTGATTTGTATAATTCGAGTAATTATATTGTTAGAAATTTATCAAAGTCTAGGTTTACATTTGAGTAGTCTTTTGATTTTGTAATATTTGAATTTATGATTACTAGATTACTGCATTTCCTCATTGAACATCTGTATTAAATTTCGCAGATGATTATGTTAATCTCAGTTGATTGCCTTATATACTATTATATGTTACTGTTACCACATATATGTAGCCCCACTTACGCGACGTTTGCGGTGCATTGTTCTATTTATAATACACATGTATAATGGGTTCGCCCTTAAGTTGTATAAATAAATAAATAAATAAATATGATAAATATTTATACAGGGTGTTTCAGGTTATTGTTGCATAACTTTAAGATTCGACAGAACTTTTAAAATTAATGCATAAAGTCTATATAAACATGGGTCGAAAAATGCGTGGCTTCCGAAATACAGGGTGATTAAATTTACTTTCTAAAATAGTTTTCTTTAAATATTTCGAACAATATTTGATGTATAACAGTGAAAATTGGTATACAAGGGATTTTTGGTACGAACCATAAGCATAGTTTTACTGTAGCCGCTAGAGGGCGCTCTTTACTGTACCTGTAGTGTATTAAAATGACGAAAACTGTTTCTTAGTGCAATTTTTTGCTTTTTGAATAAAAAACCTGATTCTTCGCACTTTTCAACATAAAAAAGCTCTCATGTGAATTTTCGTTATAGTTAGCCGTTTTTGAGATAATATTTCGATTTTTGAGGTTCGATGCATTTTTAATTATTTATGATACAATAACGTTAAAAAGTCAGTATCTCGATAATTTTTAGAAGTAGGCTGTGCCTGCAAATATTTTTGAAATTGAAAGCAGAATAACGTTAAACGTCAATTAGTTGACAGTTAGTTTTGTTGTCTGTTGAAACCTAAAACGTTTTTTTGCAATTGTCAATGCACGAAATTTACCTGTTTTTTTGTAAGTTTTATAAAAAATTTTACTCTCCAATCAAGAGCTAGCGGATATTCATTTTGTGTATGGCTTTGTAAATGGAAACGCAGCAGAAGCAGCCAGTGAGTACGCACGAACATTTCCAAACAGACGACATCCAACTCGCTCAGTATTTGTAAGGGTGCATCGCCAAATAATTGAAAATGGTTTTGGAAATCTCCAAAGGGATCAAAACATAAATGTTCGTTAGCGCAGATTTACCCGTATGATTCTGCGTGAGTTTGATAGAGATCCGACCACAAGTGTTAGGAGAGTTTCTGGTGCCTTGGGAATTTCAGCAAGCCGTGTTCTTAGAAATGACCATAGACGTCCTTACCATTTGCAACCTGTGCAAGGACTACAGCCAGGGGACGGAGAACGAAGAATCACATTTTGTCAGTGGATTCTTGATAGAACTAATAATAATAGGGAGTTTTTAAGTAACGTTTTATGGACCGATGAGTCATGCTTCACTAGACGTGGAGTGGTAAATTTTCATAATCAACATATCTGGTCGCATGAAAATCCGCATGCAGTTCGGGAAAGAAATTTTCAGCATCGACTATTTGGACCTTACCTTTTGCCTGCAAGGTTAAATGCTGCGACCTTCTTGGGATTTTAAAGGCTGAACATGCAAATATGTGGCATGATGTTATGTTAGATTTAAGAACATTGGCCTGGTTCCAGCCTGATGGTTGTCCAGCTCATCATTCGAGAATAGTTAGAAACTGGCTGGACGAAAATTATCCAGAAAGATGGATCGGCCGTGGAGGACCAGTCGCCTGGCCTCCACGCTCCCCTGACCTAAATCCATTAGATTTCTTTGTGTGGCGATTTCTAAAAGAAAAAGTGTACCAGACTCCCGTAACCACAAGAGATATGCTAATAGACAGAATCAGGAATGCATGTGATGAAATAAGGCCTTATTTGAATAATGCTATACCACGTTCGATCATTCGTAGATGTGAATTGTTTATTGAACAATTGGGTTTACATTTCGAGCAACTACGTTAGATTTTGTATTTTTGTCCTAACTATCCAATAGCATTTTAGTTGTAAATAATTGATTTAATTTGTTAAAAATAATATTGGAAAATTAAACAAATGAATATTCTGTTTTTTTGTGTTTATTTGGAGTTAGGAATTATTGCTGTGTTTAAAAACACAATCTAAACGATCATCTTAATTACTTGTAATGCCCAAATCGAAAATGTAAAAAAACTATTATTTTCCCATAAATAATTAAAAATGCATCGAACCTTAAAAATCGAAATATCTCAAAAACGGCTAACTATAACGAAAACTCACAGGAGAGCTTTTTTATGTTGAAAAGTGCGAAGAATCAGTTTTTTTATTCAAAAAGCAAAAAAATTGCACTAAGAAAAAAATTTCGGTCATTTTAATACACTACAGGTACAGTAGAGAGCGCCCTCTAGCGGCTACAGTAAAGATATGCCCATGGTTCGTTTTGCCGTACCAAAAAACCCTTGTGTACCAATTTTCACAGTTATTCATCAAATATTGTTCGAAATATTTAAAAAAAAACTATTTTAGAAAGTAAATTTAAACACTCTGTATTTCGGAAGCAACGCATTTTTCGACCCTTGTTTATATAGACTTTATGCATTAATTTTAAAAGTTCTATCGAATCTTAAAGTTATGCAACAATAAACTGAAACACCATGTATACTCAATAATAATTAACAGTATATTAAAATATATCAGATATCAATGACAATGCTTCGTATGGGTAAATACCTGACCAGAATAATTCCATTTAACAAATAAACATCAACTTTACTATTTTTAGTATTATTATTATTATATGTTTAATAGCCATAGTGGAATTTTCCTGTCCTAAAAGTTTATCGAACAGTTTGACGTATTTTTGCAGTATTCGAACTGATTAGGTATGTGAATAGGATTATTTTCCTCTCCCCACCATTCCGCGAACCTGCAATGCTCTTCAGAATTTCAAGCAAAACTTATGCCCCCAAATCCATCACAATGGAACTGGAGCTACTCTTCAGAGTCAACAAAAAACGGTTTATGCATCAGGCGGCGTTACGTAGAATGGAATGCGCCTCAGTGCATTCTTGAGAGCTATAAATTACATTCATGGACAGCTCGTCAAGTGTGTGTTTACTTGCTCGGTGCCATTAGTTTGCGGAGAGATTAGAAAGTTTCACTAGCGTGGAAACCGGGAAATTCGAGCTCTCAGACGGATACGTCTCCATTTCCGCAGAACAGAATTGTTGATAGCTCTATTCAAATCCATTACCAGGAGTGAGATGCCTGCCGTCACAGCCATTTCAAAGTCAGCCGGGAGAATTTGAGTTGCTTGTCGTTGTCTTCCAGGACTTAGTTGTAGAATTAATAGTATACGAGGGTTGATCCCTATACTCGTGGAACTAAAGCTACATTTAATTCATGTACTTCCATTCAATCCCTACTAGCTTCAATGCTGTTGTTTAGACGGTTTCAACAGCCTCCTGGTTAAAAGGCTGAGCACCAATTCTCTGCGTAGATATCATCTGCTGCTTACTCGAACACTTTTTTCTCATAAATGTAATTTCAATGATAAGAATAATAATCAAGTAGCCAAAATAATACACTCAACGTTACCTCAAAGTTCTTCTTTGTTCAGGTTAGCCTTGGAAACAATTCTAATCACTTAACTGACACTTTGCAAGGTTAGTTGTGTCTGTGAATGTCTATGAACAATCGGTTATGTGCCTTGATTGCAGTGGTAATTATTTGTAGATATATTTGCCAATCATTTTTTTCTGGACCAAAGATGGGTTTCAATTGAACAAGCCTCGTATAAATATACACCATACCCGGTACTCTCTAATCAGTAGGCCCTATTGTACAGGGAGAGGTCAGTCATAACCAATACGACAGTTGACTATAACCTACCACACATATACTAAGTGACATATAAATCCGAACACCCAGTTTAAATGGTTTTATTTTTATAAAAGTTGGTGAATGTATTTATCTTACTGTAAATAACAAGTGAAAAAATTTTCAGCCTTATCAGTTGGACATTCCGGTTTTTATACTGCTTTTTTTTAATTCACTAACGCTCTAAAATGAATATTTCAGCCGCAGTAAAGAATCAACGTTGGCGGATTTTGGTTCTTGACATCCTTTACGATCGGTTACGATGCCTACAGTACGGAGACCAGTACGATTTCGTCAACTTAGTGAGTTTGATAGGGGCCGTATAGTGGGACTTCGGAAAGCTGGACTTTCTTTTCGGGCAATTGCAGTTAGAGTGCAAAGAAGTGTAGACACTGTGGTTAGGTGTTGTCAGGCATGGCTTCGAG